CCCCGGCGGCGGGCATCGGGGTGCCTGCGCTGGCCCAGCCGCGGGTGGATGGGGAGCTGGGGAAGCAAGGAGAGGAGCGGGGAAAGGAGATGAAAGGAGAAGCGAAGGGGAAGGAAAAAGGAAAGGGAAAGGAGAGGAAAAGGGAAAGGGGAAAGGGAAGTGAAAGGAGAGAGAAAAGGAAAGGAAAGAAATGGGCAGAAAAGGAAAAGGGAAAAGAAAAGGAAAGGGAAAACGGGAGAGGAAAAGCAGAGGAAAGGAAAAGGGGAAAGGAAAGGAAAAAGGAAAGGAAAGAAAAGGGAAAAGGAAAGAGAAGGGGAAAGGGAGAGGAGAGAACAGGAAAGAGGAAAAGGACAAGGGAAAAGGAGAGGGGAAGGGAGAAGGACAGGAAGGGGGAACGGAGAGGAGAGAAAAAGGCAAGGGGAAGGGAAAAAGGAGAGGGAAAGGGAAAAGGAGAGGAAGGGGAAAGGAGAGGGAAGGGGAAAGGAGAGGGAAATGAAAAGGGGAAGGGAAGGAAGGGGAGAATAGAGTGAAATGAAAAGGTAAAGGGAAAGTTTGCCTGGAGCACTGCAAAGCTGCCTGGCCCTGCGCCCCGGGCTAACCTGGCCCACCCTACCCTGGCCCGGCCCCGGTGCACCCACCCTGGCACCCTGCCTGGGTGCCTAGGGAGGACGTGCACAGCATGGCTTGGCTGCCCAGCGTGGGGACATGGCTACCGGCCCTGGGAGTCAGCCCCCCGGGCCCTGCCTGCCTGCAGCTCTAGCCCCCGGAGTGGCAAGCCCCAGCACGGAGGGGCCAGTGGCCCTTCGCCAAACTGAGGAGGCTGCAGAGGGCATGGTCCTGTGCCTCGTCTCTCCCTGGGAACATCCCAGCTCCATCCCCTATGGGAGGCAATGGGGGGGCGGTCAGAAGGCAGTGAGGGATAAGCTAAGGCCAGATTGTTTCCCCTCTGCTCTGTCCCCAGACCTGGCCTGGGTGTCTCAGGGCTAGCAGGCTGGGGACAGAACTGGGGGGAGCGCACCAGCTCCCCCAGTCAGCCGGGATCTAACCCTGCTTCTCCTCTCTGCCAGGGGCCCGTGTTGGAAGGAGATCTAAGATGAAGTTATGGGATGTTGTGGCTGTCTGCGTGGTGCTGCTCAACACGGTCTCCACCTCACCCCTGCCCACCGGTAAGACGCCTCCCAAGGGGCCCCCTTCAGTGGTAGAGGGGCCTGAAGACGATCTCTCCCCCATCAGCCTGCCGCCTCCCTATGCTGTGCACAGTGACTGTAAGAAACATTCCCCTTCATAGCCACTGCTGTCTTGTCTTGCTAAACCTGCTCTCCTTTGTCCAGGCCTCAGGGTGAGGAAAGGATCCCCACTTTCACTCCCACTTGTCCCCCAGCCAGGGCCACTGGCTCTGCTCTGGCTGCAGCAGCTCCAAGTCAAGTCATCCGCCAAAGCGTGGGGCTGGCAATCACAGAGGCAGTGCCTCTGCCTACCCCCCACCCCCAGCCCTATCTTCCAGGCAGTCATAAGATCCCTTTGGTTGAAAAACCCTGGAAGATGGGAAAGTTAATTGTACGCTAAGCAGCTAACAGGAGGATCAGGTACATATACCTAACAACTCAGGCACAAAAACTTCCTTCCCCACCCCGCTAACCTGCTCTCCGTGCTCGGACTTACCAGTACAATTATTTACTGTCTGTAGAGGGCAGAAGTCCTGATCAAGATTGGGCTCCATGGTATGAGGTGCTGTGCACATCCTGGAGTGCTGCTGCCCTTCGTTAAACCCTTCTTGAATCCTTATTCTGAAATTAGTGTGTCCGCATGGAAATTTACAGAAGAATAACAGCAGAGGGGTTAGGAACTTGGTGCAGAGAAATCCACATGAGCCAACTCACAGTAAGACAGCTTACAATCCAAATGACAGATAATAATGCCTCTCTAATAATAGGTCTCCAATAATAGCAGATACAGCATTTTCACAGTGGAATGTGATTGTTACGTTAACACTGGTGGCTTTTTTAAGTAGGAGTTAATATGACTCAATAAGTGCCAAATACTCACGTAAATTGTAGGGGTGCTCACTTAGCAAAGGCAAAGGTGTAGTTCTGAGGTTGCTCCCTTCACCTTTGCTCAGCCCTCCCTGTTTAGGTGTTGTAGGATGCAGAGAACATCCAATAATTGGGATTCGTTTTTATCTCCTTACGTGCCTGGAGGCATGTTCTTTGTGTGGCTGCTACATCTCCAGCCATGGGTAGCACCGCTCTGGTTTGTCCAGAGCAGCAGGGCAACGATGCGGCTTAGCGGCGACATGTGGGAGAATCTCCATGCTGCAGTTCCTCTTTGCGTCAGCTCTCCAGAATCCGTCTCCTCCATCTGTCCCCGCACACAGAGGTGCACATCTGTGTCCTTCTGTATTTAGTCTTTTCTATTTCCTTTTCTCCCTCTGATTTTCCCCCGTTGGAATCTTTCCTGGGCTGTCATCTCCTCTATTTCCAGCTGAGTCTCTGCTGATCTGACCTCCCCTGTCATCCTTTCAGCCCCTTATCACGGGGAAGTTGGCCCAAAGAGCTTCCTTCCAGGTCTCCAGCCTGCAAGGACTGCAGAGCCTTTACGACTCTGTGATCTTCCTCTCCAGAACGTGCTGCAGGGAGGGGAAGGTACTCGGGCATTGGACGATCCTACAAGACCCAAAGATGTGGGTTGCTGTGCCGCTCACCTTCGCACAGACTTGTTGCAACGCCAATTCTGTGGGAAGAAGAGAGTGTTAGGAAGAAAGCAGCGCTAGTCGATTTGTAACTCAGGCAAAAGCTGCAGGGCGGGAGAATATTAGTGCTCCGTGTTTCCAGGGCTGAAGTATTTCTACAATGTCAACTTTTATCTTAAAACTTACTTTTGGAAATGTGATTCCTCATGAGCTGCTTTCTCTGCAGCAACTCTAGGAGGCAGGTAGCAGTAGCAGTCTTGTCTGTTCCTAGCATCAGAAACTTCTCGTTGTTTCCTCCTTTTTTGTGGACTGAGCAAACAAGAAGTGGGAAGAAAGACAACCTGTGTTTTGCTTGGGCTACAGACAGCCTCTTCCAGAAATCTCTACTTCCAATGTGTAAACGCAATCTCTGCCAAGCAGAGATAGGTCATAGGCTATCATCTGGCATAGTCATTTCAAGGAAGGCTGATAATTTGGTCTTCGTCTCTTAACTGGGCAGATCACAAACAGATGAGCCTGCCTGCAAGGGGAAAATAAGCAGGACTGTTCTTCACAATAGAAGTGCAAGGAAACCCATGGAGTTTCTGTGATCTTTACACAACAGCAGTACAGTATCCATGCCCAAAAGTTAGAAACTCCTCTGTTAGCTAGACTGCCAAGTCTGATGAGTCAGGGGAGACTTGCAGAAGGGCAGCTGTATGAAATCAGGGAAATACTTTGATTCACTTTTGCGCTGTTTTAGTTTATTTTAAAACGTGTGGTGCCTGGACTGCATTCTGAAGACCCAGAGCCGACACAGCCGATCATATCTAGCCATGTCGCTGCTTTCCTCGCTGTGGCAGCACTTTGTTCCACAGTAGCCGCAGTCGGTGTATCTGACATATCTGTTTCTCTCCGTTTGGTGGCACACACCTGTCAACACATGAAAGAGGTAGAACAACGTACACAGCAGGAGTCATGTCTACACCATGTAGACCTCCTTCTCCTCCTCAGGGCTTCTTTTACAAGGAGTGGGCAATGTGCCATGAGCACGCATGCACGCTTACAGCACAGTCAGCTGGTCTGCTGGTGGACCTGCCATGCATGTATTGATTTCTCTAGGTATACTGATGGTTGACAGCTTCACCAAGTGTCTTTACAGGTGACAGTTCCCAAAGTGGTGGAAGCTTCATCATAGTTGGCCTGCGTTAGCAAATCTGCGTAGGGCAGCACGTGAGTGCTGAGCAGTGCTGAGTACTGCATGCTTTCCAAGAGGAATGCAGTGCTGTCCCTAGAGCGACCCACACATGGGCGGGGTGCAGAGTAGCTAGTGCATGCTAAGGTATGCACTACACCTCTTCTCATATAGCACAGTTTTCTAATACTCTACCAGGAACGGTGGTTAGTAGGGTTGCGAGACCGAGTCCAGCCATATATGCTGCTGGAACACAGATCTGTGTTCCCAGGTCTTGGACGCATTCGTGTGTTCTTGTTCGATGGGATTGCTTTCTCTCCAGAGTGCCCTGAGGTCATCTGATGCTACTCCTTCTCCTTCAAGTTGGCTTGAAACCTGTCCTTGTTCCAGATTATAGGCAAGGTCTTCACCTCCCAGGCTGATCAGGTGTAATGTGTTGACCTTTGTTGTTCAGGTCAGTAATCAGAGATAGAAGAGAGTATTGACAATTGCAAGCTTCTGCATTTTTTACTGGAATGGAAATGGGTGACAGTAGCCTCCATAAATGCTGTGCATTTGAGATGAATCCTCTGTTTGTAGGTGTTGCAGGTAACAATGTTCATGGGACAGCTTATTTCACAGGAAGAAGAGTAGCTGTAGGGGTTTGTAAAATCAGAAAATCTTTTCTCTGTTATACTCATGCTACAGTCTGCTGGGGGAAGGACGTACTTAGCTATAATAGGAACCGCAATCAGAACAGTTACAAATCACATTGCGTACAAACTAAGCCAGCAATTTTGAAAGTGTGACAGTACAGATGGAGCCAAACACTAGGTTTGGCTTATATGAGCCTCCCAGTAAATACATTTTGTAACTAACTGCCTGACCCTGTGTAACCACAATCAACAGGTATATGAGAACTAGAGTACCATAAGATGGCAGGACATGATGATACACAGTCTTATGATCAACAGTGGGCACCTTGAGTAAGAGCTAGCAGTATGCATGTAAAAATAAATGAAAAATCTCACCATAGGCATTTCCCTCCTAAAAGAAGGAAAAGATGTTCTTTTGCATTGTAATGATGGCTGAGGTACTCCACAGCCGCTGGATGGTGATTTGCAGCTGGCACCCCTTTGGTATGGTGTACCATAACACAACATGTTATACGTGCATTATACCTCTGTAAACATTTTTCATACCCCTGTTAAAGGCTTATTCAATGATAAGTTACTGCTTTTAGCTGGAACATTATCCTTTAGCATGGAAAGTATCTAGAATAAACAGTTATATTATAGTACTCTTTTAAGGCAAAGTCAGTATTAAAGTATACTTCCACATGAACAGATTTCCTTCTCTACAGAGTTTATTAGACACATTTGGTGTTAAGAACCAGAACTCTTATAATTCTGTCTAGGTTTTCCTCCTCAAAGTGCAGACTGCACAGCAGACGCATTTTAGCCTAAAACACCCACGAGCTACAGAGGTAACCTGCCCATGCACAGGATCCCTCTTAGAGATATCCGACGTAGTGAACAGGAGCCACATTGCATCATCTGATCTGTGTTATGTATACGGTAAAACTAACTGGTGCATCCAGCCACTGCCAGACTGCATGTGCGTATTTCACTGCGGCAGCCTTTATAAAGTCTGTGTGCATGGGCATGCCCAGGTTTTATAGGCATTCAGAAATCCCAAAATGCAAAGTCCTGCTTTTGTCCCTGTCCAGATGCTGTTCTCTCCACAGTCTCAAATATGTCTACTGAATATACTCCCATGAAGGGTGTTTGGAGACCTAAGGTTGAAATGATTGATATGCAGGAGAATATAGTTTTATTCTCATTTTAAAAGCTATCCTTTGTTTGAAGTTATGTGTTTGACTCCTCCTAAGTTTAGGAACCTCAACAATTTTCCAGTGGAAGCAGGGATCCTGTTAGATGTTTTTCAGATGTGGGATGCTAGATAATGTATCTGAACGTGCTTTTCTTAGTCACCTTTCAGAGGCCTCTTAATTATAATTCAGAAATTCCCCTGCTCAGGGTCTGCAGACCACAAGCTGAAAACCCCTTCTTGGAAGACTGAGTATTTCAGCTGAGTAAATGACTGTTGATGAATGGATGAGGGACGCACTATTTCTCTGCTGGAATGGGATCCTCAAATTGATAGGTTGCAATGTCTTTGCAAATTACACTGTTCCTAATTAGCACTGCATAGAGTAGGTTTAAAATACATAGAGTTATAGAAGTTGAGAGGAGCCATTGGGGTCACGGAGTCCCAATCCCTATAACTACAGATAATCAGGAAGAGATGTCTAGTGCGAATATCCTGTCTTTATCCCCAGCACACACTACCACTAACTGCAACTTAAAACTTTCGGTATATAGGCCAAACCCCACAAAACTGCAATTGTTGAGGAACCTCAT